TTTTGAGATACTCTATGAATTTTTCTGCTTAGCTAAAAAAGGTTACTACAGAATCTCAAACTTCATGGAAATGCTTTATTTTTATGGAGGATTATTTTTTTCAGCTGGTATTCCTTTCATGTTTTAAAGCAATGCTTCTTAAACTTCAATGTGCATATAAATCATCTGAGGATCTTATTAAAATGCATTATTTTGATTCAGTAAAATGGGTGGCACCCAAGGTTCTACATTAACAGCTCCCAGATGATGCCAATGTTGCTGGGCCGAGGACCACATTTTGAATTGCAATGTTTTAAAGTAGCTGTATGGATACAACTGGCCTAATTCATTAGAAGAGAGAAGACAGCAAACCCTAAAACGGGCGGTGAGTCTCTGGGTGGCATAAACAGTTAAGCACTCGGCTGCTAACAGGAAGGTTGGCAGTTCTCATGCACCCAGAGGTACCTCAGGAGAAAGGCCGGACAATCTACTTTCGAAAAATCAGCCACTGAAAACTCCATAAGGATCCCTGGTAGTACAGTGGTTAAGTGCTCAGCTGCTAACTGAAAGGTCGGCAGTTCAAACTCACCAGCCATTCCACAGGAGAAAGATGTGGCAGTCTGCTTCCATAAAGACTATAGCCTTGGAAACCCTATAGAGCAGTTCTGTCCTATAGAGTCGCTGTGAGTTAGAATTGACTCAACAGCAATGGACTTGGTTTTTATTTTAGTTTGAAAACCCTATGGAGCACAGTTTACTCTGACGCACATGGGGTCTCCGTGAGTTGGAGATGACTTGATGGCAACTGGTAAAATGGGGGGCAAATAGTGAGAAGGATGAAAATCTGATGTGTCCTCTGTATTTTTCATACTTGAGCACAATATATTCCCTATCAAGAATTAAGAACATACATTTACCACCATCCCTCCATTTCTGCCACCACTCAATACCAGAAAAGATGCAGAATTTGACACCTAGACAGCTAGATTGAGGCTAAATCCACATGAAAACTTATTTAACACCTGCTACACAGAGATCATCCCATAGAATGTTAACCATCACCTCTTCCCCTCTGCATCTTCATGTCTTTTATTCCTTCCTCTAGCCATTGTTTCTCAGTGTAGCTTAGGGACCAATGGTCCTTGGCAATCTATCAAGTAGTCTATAGACAGTTTGAGAAGGTGATAAAAGTTTTGATCACACACATTTCCCAAATTTTAAAAGTAAGATTAATCATGATTTTCAAAGGAATTCTTTTAGGTTCTGAAGAAAGTACTGTTTCAAGCTAACATACTTTTCACATGTGAGTTGCTTACACTGGTTAAATGTGTATTTTATTGTTGTTACTATCATATTGTGTGTGTTAAAGCACAAATTTAGGAAAAAGAATGAATGGCTCAAAAAAGTAAAAGTGATAAAAGTACATTTAACTTAGGATGTCATAAATAAAACAGTTTTTATCTTGAAAATCAAAAACACAAGGAAAATATTAGTCCAAAGGACTAACGGACCATATGAACCAGAGCTTCCACCAACCTGAGCCCAGAAGAACTAGATGGTACCTGGCTACCACCACCCACTGCTCTGACAGGGTCCTGGGCAGAGGAGGAGAAAAATGCAGAACAAAATTCAAATTCACAAAAAAAGACCAGACCTACTGGTCTGACTGTGACTGGAGGAACCCCCAAGACTACGGCTCCTGGACACCCCGCTAACTCAGAAATGAAGCCACTCTCAAAGTCCACCTTCAGCCAAAGATTAGACAGGCCTATAAAACAAACAATAACACACATGAGGACTGTGCTTCTTAGATCAATGAAGTATATGAAACCAAATGGACAAAACCTGCCCAAAAGCAAAGACGAGAAGGTAGTAACAGACAGGAAAACTGGATGAATGGACACTGAGAACCCAGGGTGAAAAGGGAAACGGGGAGAGTGCTGACACATTGTGGGGATTGCAACTAATGTCACAAAACAATTTGTGTTTAAATTTTTTGAATGAAAAACTAATTTGTGCTGTAAACTCTCACCTAAAACAAAATTTAAAAAAAAAAGTATTAGAATGAAAATAGTGGGATCTTACAATGGGCTGTGACTAGTGAATGTGGTTTGATTAGTCTATATTAGGAGACCCCTTTGTTCCCACTGTACTGGTGTCTTATGAAACATGAAACAGTGACAAGAAGCCACTGAAGCCACATCATTTTCAACTATTCTGGTAAACCAATCAAAGCCTCCACTATGACTTTTGTCATTAAAAACAAAGATAAAAACTATATTCAAAAGAACTTCTTTTAACAAAGAAAGGTGTTGAGTTGTCAGCTGCAAAATTAATGACAAATATGCTCAGAGAGAAACAAAACAATCTATTGGCAAAATTCCATCATCAGATGACATTACTAGATATTACATAATATGCACAGTATATAGTGAGGAAGAATAATTACTATCACAGATGTATGCTTTTAGATATTTTGTTTTATGGCTGGGTGAAACCACTAGTGTGCAGAGTATGAATCAACTCTCAGCGAATACATGTATAATATGTAAATCAAGAAATATAAGTGACCTTTTTAACTGTGATTATCAATGAGATCGTATCATCTGCAGAGATACTTTGACTTCTTCCCTACCAATCTGGATGCCCTTTATTTCTTTTTCTAGCCTAACTGCTCTGGCTAGGACCTCCAGCACAATGCTGAATAAGAGTGGTGATAAAGGGCATCCTTGTCTGGTTCCTGTTCTCAAGGAGAATGATAATCAATGAAAACTTATGTTACGGAGAAAGTATTTTCTTTTAACCAACAATTATTTTTGGACCTTGATATAAACTTGAAAAGGTGGACTGGGATCAGTATGGCAAAAGCACTAGTAAGCAGCAAGGAAGAGCACAGCACCTGAAAGTCAATTCACACACAGCTTCATTCACAGACAATAGCTGGCATTTGACAATATGCCCTCTATCACTGACTCAGTGTTCAAGAGCACAAGGAAAATTGTGAATATGATTCAAACTGCAGTCCTTAAAAGGTTCCTTCAGCATGTTACATCAAGAAAGAATAAACAGAAGACTCTGCTTTTCTATCGTGTCACCAGGAAAGATGCTAACGAAAACTTTTCAAATGAAGGATGACAAATTTTTTTTCATGACACTGATAACATCAAAAAACATTTCTATGATTTCAAGTTGCTTACTCAAGTGCCATAGTCCATGACACATACAGTATAGTGAATAGCTTGAACCTATCATTTGAGGGTGAAATATCACAATTCTTAAGGATAAAATATGAAGACCAATACATGAAACAAATGGCTTAAACAAAGAGAGTTTGACTCTTCCAAATCTTGTCTGGTTGTAGAAAAAAAATCAATGTCTTAGATACACTCTAAAACCACATTCAATTACTGCACTAAACGTGAAAACATTTCCTAGAACTGAATACAACCAAAAGGAAAGATCAGATGCCCATTGCCATCTCTCAAAATGAAATATTCAGCTTTACTGTTGAGTGACATACATTTGTCAGTGCCTGAAACAACACTTTTACTGTATTTTTATTCATTTTTGTGTCCATCCTTACACTGAATACCTAAAATACCTAAAAGAATCACTATATACTTGCTACTATTCCCAACAACCTGTAATTAAAAGTGGCCCAAGCCCACTGCCACTAAGTCGATTCCGACTCATAACGACCCTATAGGACAGAGTAGAACTGCCCCATAGGGTTTCCAAGGAGCAGCTGGTGGATTTTAACTGCTGACCTTCTGGTTAGCAACTAAGCTCTTAACCACTGCGATCAAGAGTAGGAAAAGAAACTAATTAAATATGAAACCTTAACTTCGACATCAGTGAACCAGGTATAAATGTGGTGAAAGACTGCAGCAATAATTGCTTTCCCAGATGTTTAAATTATTTTAAAATACTGCTTTGATCTTACAATTAAAAAAAAAATTATTCCTTTGTGTTTACTTTATCTAAAATCAGTAGTGTGTATACAGATCCATCATGTGGTCCACGTATTCCAAATGTCTAAGAAATACTACTTTCAGCTATTGTTTCTTTCTACCCATTATTGCTAAAAAAATACAACCAGGGTAATTTTGTTTATTATTAACCTTCTTACATTAGAAAAGCACTTCATTGTCTGCATTTATGTTCCTTTGTTTTTTTTTTTAAAAAAAGGGTCTCATTTCAATATGCATAGCACCTAGAAAAAACAATATATCTAATAATTATTTCCAATTTCTCCTCAAACCCCAAAACTCCATAACCCCCCCAAAGTTATTCTTTCCTTCTGACCAGAACCTTACACCTCTTGGCTATAACCAAGGATGATATTAAAAATGCTTAACAACTGACATGGCATAAACACGAAACAAAGAGAATGAACACCAGTTCATAACTACATGGCTATGATGGAGCATGCTAACAATATATTACAGCTTCCTTTAAACAGCCTGGCCCCCATTCTCAACATCTTTGGTTATTCTTTCCCTGCTGATTCCCAGAAAACAGTTAGCAGTTTTCATGAAAGATAACCACGTTAAATGGATTCCAAGTCTGAGTTTAACTTTGTATTTTATTAAATTTTTCCTTTCTCTACTTTTACTCCTTAATAGAAGAATTAAGGATAAGTATTAGAAAGAACACACTATTGCTTTCTTTCCCCTACATGAACTGTCACCAGATAATGAGACTCTATAGTCAGCTTTTATTACAGCTTTGTTATGTGATTTTATCTACACAATTAAATATGCAAGCTCTTTCTTGGCTCAACCAAATAAAAAGTTAATACACAGACAAATGGATGCATTTTGGGATATATTACTGATATTATAAAGTGTTAGCAAAACAAATAAATGGCTGACATTTAAAGAAGGAAGAGTAGAAAAGGAATACAGAATACCACAAAAAAAAAAAAAAAAAGAGCCAGGTCATTTAAAACTAAACCTGAATTCATAAGAATTATGTAATAATATCAAATATATTTGTTCTGTTTATTAGGATCTTCTTACCCAACTTTGGAAAAACTATTAAGTATTCAGCATTGCACTGAGGACATGCGACTCTGGCTGTACTGTTTCCTCTTTGTTTTTCATCCACCCAGCGCTGTAGACAAGCCTGGTGAACCCATTTTGTAGATCCTCTGCACCTGCATGGTCTCACCCATTCAGCTGTTCTATCATCTTCATCAGTGGCAAAACACACCCAGCAACTTCTGTAAATTAAAAGAGAAAATGATGATGTTACCTTTATGACCCCAATCTCCTCCCCACTGCAGCTGTCCCTTAATGGGACTCATGTTGTATGCAAGTGCTCATCCCCACAACCCTAATAACTTATCAGGAAAAAAGTCCTACCAGAATACCAATAAGAAAGGTAAACAGTTTCTTTATACCTAAAAATTATTTTCTTTATAACAAGTATATACAATGTAGATGCTTATTCAATAGATATACTGTTTTTATTTTTTCTTTAATGTTATCTTTAAATACACAGATTTTCTTGTAATGTTTTCAACAGAAGACTTAGGACCAAATCATTTCAATGGATTCTTTTTGTTCTGTTTTATTCCTCAGTACATTCATTAGCAAAGTATTCTAAAGTTTGAATATGTAGCGGACCCAAGGTCCTCAGATAAAATCAGATCTCGAGAAGGAGCCACCAAAAGTCTGAGGCAGGTGCAGCAGAAGACTGTAAGGCTGGAATGTGAAGGGAATTTAGACCCACAACATGGAGGAAAGATGGCCCACAAGGTGTGAAGCAGATCAAGACTGAATCCATAGGAAGGTTCGGGAAATGGGCAGCAGGACTGGAAACTGTGGCTTAGAGCTAAAACAAATGAGGTTACCTCTAGTTAAGAGCTGTACTGTCCAATATGGTAGCCACTAATCACACATGGCTATTAAAATTTCATTTAAATTAAGTTAAAAATAGTTCCCCAGTCACATGAGCCACATTTCAAGAATTCAATAGTCATATATGGCTAGTAGCTACTATACTGGAGAGCACAGATATAGAATATTTCCATCACTGTAGAAAGTTCTATTGGACAGTAGTGAACTAGAGTAATGAGAGCAGGGAAAGTAACAAAAACCCACAATTTAAGTATAAAATGAGAAGACAGCTTCAGGAAGGGGGCTTTAGAGTAGGAATGTGATTAGAGGGAGAAAGAAACTGAGTGGAGAGAGAGAATCTGGGAGAGCAAAGGAGTGAAAAATTGCTTCCATAACCCACCTAGGCCCTGTGATTACATTAACTAACATTTATTCGTTAAGTGCCCTGTCCGTTATTATTTTTTTTTACAACAGTTAATTGGCAAAGCAGCTAATCTACCACCAGAGCTGACCATTAAGAAACCAAGGAAAGGAGGCAGGGCCAAGATGACACACTAGGCAGATGCTTTCTGTGGTCCCTCTTACAACAAAGACCTGAAAAAACAAGTGAATCGATTATGTATGACAATCAAAGAGCCGTGAACATCAAAGACAAAGTTGGGGAATCGTACTGAGCAGAAGGGGAGGGAGAGACGGTTCAGAAGCAGTGAGGAGTTGCCAGACCTGACCCAGTGGCAACCGGCACTGTCCAGGCCAGATCTGCTGGTGTACACCGTGAGTTGGGCAGTCGCGTTGGGACGCGTTTTCCATGAAGGGAGAAACTAAGCTGCGGAGAGTCTACTCAAGCCTCCAGAACGAGTGAAAAGCAGCATTCAATTGGCAAAAGAGAAGTACATGCATCTAACCTACCGCACGGATCAAAAAACACCCCATTTGGGAAGAACCTCTTCTCCATTTACCTGCTCCCTCCTTGTTCTACACCTGGTCCCAGGCCAGCTTCAGCGATTGCTGCGTCTGTCCCCAGGGCCAGAAGTAGGACCCATCATGCCCCCTGAGCCATTCTCCCGGCCTTGGAGAAGGAAATTAACAAACAAGAAAAAATAATCTACGAGCTCCCCTAAGCCAGGATCTCAGGGCAGGCACAGCTCCCTAGGCACAGATGCAAGGGGTCCACAAACTCTGAATGCCAGCGTAGGCCCTCATTAGCACAGTACAACAGGGTATATACCTGAAGCTTAACTTCAACTGTATCAGCTGTATGATGGAATGGCAGGTTTGTGACATTTGATACTGCTCTGCCCATTAAGCAGGGTCCTCACCCACATCAGGGGCCTGAGGACTGGTGGCTCCACCCAAGCCACCTAGTCACCTGCAACAGGGGTCCAGGAATAAGTGGTGCCTCCCAGTCCTTACAGCCAAAAGCACTGGGTGCCCACAGTCTGGCTGCAAAACCCACCCACCTATGTACTCTACAGAACAGGGACATGCTTTCCTCCAGACACTCAGGGGCAAACTTTAGTCCCGTGACTTGCTCAGCCCGTGACCCCTTACTGCAGCCAGATACCTGTGCCTACTCAAATCACCCCTTCGTGTCTAGGACTGTAGGTGAGAACGTGCACCACACACTTGGTGACTGACTACGCAGACACCTGAGCTGAATCCATGAAAGTAAATGGACTCTTGGGCTCCCATACCTAGTAACAGATCTAACCACCTGGTGACGGGACATTAGACCTTCAAAGGCAACAGTAATCAAAGTAGCTCACATGAGCAGCCTATTTGGGAATATCAAAACAAAACAAGAAGCTGGGACACAGTAAGCAAACATAAATAAATATAATAACTTATTGATGACTCGAAGACAACAGTCAATATCAAATCACATAAAGACGCACACCATAACAGCTTCAGCAAGCTCCCAAAACACAGAATCAAGAAATCTTCCAGAGGAAGAGAACTTCTTGGAATTACCGGAGGAAGAATACAAAAGATTAATATACAGAACTATTCAAGACATCAGGAAGATCATGTAAAATGCAGAACAAGCCAAGGTACACACAGACAAAGCAATAGAGGAACTTAACGATAACCAAATTTAACAGGCTGCAAGAATCCACAGAGAGACAGCAAACAGAAATCCAGAAGATTAACAGTAAAATTTCAGAATTAGACAACTCAATAGGAAGTCACAGGACCAGAATTAAGGCAACAGAAGTCAGAATTAGTGAGACTGAAGATAAAGCACTTGACACCAACTTATTTGAGGAAAAATCAGATAAAGGAATTAAAAAAAAAAAAGACGAAACCCTAAGAATTATGCGGGACTCTATCAAGAGGAATAACCTACGAGTGATTGGAATACCAGAACACAGGGAGAAACAGAAGATAGAACTGTTGAAGATTTGTTGGCAGAAAACTTCCCTGATATCATGAAAGATGACAAGATACCTATCCAAGATGCTCACTGAACCCCACACAACGTAGATGTCAAAAGAAAGTCACTAAGACATATTATAATCAAACTTGCCAAAACCAAAGATAGAGAATTTTAAGAGCGGCTAGAGATAAACGAAGTCACCTACAAAGAAGAGTCAATAAAACTAAGCTCGGATAACTCAGCAGAAACTTGCAGGCAAGAAGGCAATGGGATGACATATGTAAGGTCTTGAAGGAAAAAAATTGCCAGCCAAGAATTATACATTCGGCAAAACTGTTTCTCAAATATGATGGCGAAATTTCAGCATTTCCAGATAAACAGAAGTTTAGGGAATTTGCAAAAACCAAACCAAAATTACAAGAAATATGAAAGGAAGTCCTCCGGTTAGAAAATCAATAACATCAGATAACAACCCAAGACTAGAACACAGGACACAACAACCAGATATAAACCCAGATAGTGAAGCCACAAAAATAAATCAAAGCTAAAACGCTGAAAACAGGGAAACAGAGATCTCAATATGTAAATGACAACATTAAAACAAAAAAGAGGGATCTCTCACATGGAGAGGAAGTCCAGGCGATATAATGAAATAAAAGACTGGTTTAAACCTAGAAAAACAGGGGTAAATATTAAGGTACCCACAAAAGAAACTAACAATCCTATACATCAAAACAAAAAACAAGAAAAACATAAAGACTCAGCAAATACGAAATGAATAATGCAAACGATGAAAAGAAAATACAAAAGGAAAAACGACTCAGCACATAAAATTAACTGAACACAGAAACTTGTCAACAACACACACACACAAAAGATATCAAAATGACAGCATTAAACTCATACCTATTAATAATTACGCTGAATGTAGATGGACTAAATGCACCAATAAAGAGACAGAAAGTGGCTGCCTATATGCTGCCTACAAGAGACACACCTTAGACTTAAAGACAGAAACAAACTAAAACTCAGAGGATGGAAAAAAATATATCAAGCAAACAGCACTAAAAAAAGAGCAGGAGTGGCAATATTAATCTCTGATAAAATAGACTTTAAAGTAAAATCCGCCATAAAGGATAAGGAAGGACATTATATAATCATTAGAGGGTCAATTACACTACGACATAACCATAATAAATATTTACACACCCAAAGACAGGGCCCCAAAATACATAAAACAAACTCTAACAACATTGAAAAGAGAGACAGACAGCACCACAATAATAGTGGGAGAATTCAACACACCACTTTTGGTGAAGGACACAACATCCAGAAAGAAGCTCAATAAAGACATGGAAGATCTAAATGCCACAATCAACCAACTTGATCTCATGGATATATACCGAACATTTCATCCAACAGCAGCCAAGTATACTTTCTTTTCCAATGCACATGGAACATTCTCCAGAATAGACCACATATTAGGCCATAAAGCAAGCCTTAACAGAAAACAAAGCATCAAAATATTACAAAGCATCTTTTCTGACCATAAGACCATAAAAGTGGAAATCAATATGGAAACTAAACAACACCTTGCTCAAAACTACTAGGTTATAGAAGAAATTAAAGATGGAATAAAGAAATTCACAGAACCAAAGGAGAATAAAAACATACCCTACCAGAACCTTGGGGGCACAGCAAAAGCAGTGCTCAGAGGTCAATTTATAGCAATAAATGCACACATCCAAAAAGAAGGGCCAAAATCAAAACATTAACCCTACAACTCAAGCAAGTAGACAGAGAGCAGTGAAAGAAGCCCTCAGGCACCAGAAGAAAAGAAATAAGAATTAGACCAGAATTAAATGAGATAGAGAAGAGAAAAACAATTGAAAAAGTTAACAACCCAAAAGCTGGTTCTTTGAAAAGATCAACAAAATCGATAAACTACTGGTCAAACTGACAAAAGAAAAACAGGAGAGGAAGCAAATAACCCAAATAAGAAAT